AAACGATGTATTTACAATATCAAGCTTAACCTGGATCTATTGTAATTGGGGAAAACCTGTAGTAGATTCCTAGYCTTTCTTATTTGATCTCTTATTATTCAGCGATACGTTTTGTAGTCTCTTTTCTTTAACCCACTAGCTATTGATAACCTAAGAGTTGGCTATAAGTAAAATAAATAAAAATAAAAATAAAACCTCATCCAATAATTGTTTAACACTTGGATAAGTAAATCTCATATTTGCCATTTTCCTGTAGGGGCAAGTACTTTCATTGGAACGATGACGTTGGCCTTCGCCTCGTCAGAAATCTTCAGAATCTTCTTCAAGATGTTTTTGGGTATTGTGTTACTTGGTCTTCTTCATGGCCTTTGCTTTCTTCCTGTCTACCTCACTATATTCTGCCGTAGTTCGTCACTCAAAACACATGATGCTGCAATCACGATCGAGCCTGCTTTGGCTGAGTCACGTGAGTTAGCTGTCGTTACCCAGCAACCATGTGACAACAATAACGTCACATCGTATGAAAACCCAGTGGCAACAACTGAACAGAATGCAGCCTAGCTACCAGACTCTTCCAGACATTCCGACGGTTGAGGGAAAAAATTGGTCGAGTGAGCATTGGTTTGCATTGCATTGTGGGACTTCTGGGGGACAAAATAGACACCATTTTGGAAATATGTCCCCTTAACAGCCCTATAATGCACTGCAATGCCAACCCTACCCAGCTTTTTCCTCAACCTCAGAATGGACAATAAAAAGTGCCAAAGCACTCGCTTAAAAACCCTCATTTCTGAAAAACAAGCCTTTATTCGTAAAAACGAAATACAACCTTTATTATCTTTAAATAATAGTATTATTTTGACTTTTTTCTTTTTCGAAATGCAACTTGTCTCAAAGAGAAAGTGTGGATTATTTTCAAATATTTAAACATATGAACATTTGAAATGACAGTCAATCTTATTTTTAGTTGAAAATTTCGAATCTAAAGCAAATCTAAAAAGCTTTCTGTGAATTTGACCAATATTGCTCGAGCAATACGTTTTAATTTAAGGAGTTTTAAAAACTTTGCATGTCTATTTACATTGTTAAACGAATGAAATTCAATATTTAGTAGCCACGTATCTAAAGAAAGCCTAAATACGTTTTGTATTGATTTATGTAGATAAATATATTTAACTGGGGAAAGCCAATAACTCTATGTAACTATTAGCTTCTATTAGCTATTCCGAGGTCGAGGGAAAGACAGGGTCGAGTTGGCATCGCAGTGCATTGTGGAAATATTTTGGTCCCCTAAAGCAACCCCGGTTCACGCAATCTCGTACCCAGAGCCTGCGTTTCTTCTGGCCTGCGGCGAAGAACGAGGGCTCTGGCATAATCCATTCTTTAAAGGGCCACTTGGACGAAAATTGTTCCAAAATTAAAACTCTTTCATTCGAGCTGGAACTTTGCTGAAATAATCT